GGTGTGAAAGGCGTGGTTGGGGAGAGGGTGGCGGTGGGGAGGAGAAAGGTGGTTAGGATTTTGGGGACGGATTTGCTGAGGTAGAAGGTTGGGGCTAGGTGTGTGGTTAGGAAGGTGGGGGTTGAGAAGAGTTTCTGAAGGGAGGTTAGCTGGGTTGTGGATGAATACTATGGAGGGTGGATGGGCTTACGGAGATGTTGTTGTTCCATTGGGATAGTGCGTCTTCTTTGGTGTCGCCCTTCTTCCCCTTCCTGGCTGGCGTGGTCTTGGTGCCACCTTCTAGTATACCTCTTTCCTCGACGCTCAGTTGTTCAGGTTGTATTAACAAACACGCTTTGCATGTTTCTTGGAACGCGGTAAATGTCGTTGCCAGTCTGAGATGCACGTAGCGGTGGCTGAAACGACTCTTGACACGCTTCTCGAGACTATTAGTCACGTCGATGCGTGTTGTCAGGCCCAAAACGGCGATAGGCGCTTTTCGTGACTGCGCGATGTCGAAGAGATTGTAGAGCAACGTCTGGCGGGGATGTTGAGCGAAGAGATCGAATTCATCCATGACGAAGACGACGGCTTTGGCGACTTCGTCAGTTACCTCACCAGTCTGTTCGGATGGGTGAGAAAGCAGAGCGAGCAGCGTCGCTAGCGTATCTGCGTAGTTCTTTCCTGGGCCGCTACCATCCTCCTCGATGTCCATCTCTTTCCCTAGCTGGCGCCAGATCTCACGGAGCGCAATCTTGTCGTCTGTGTGGACAAAGCCGTTGAGTCTGACAACGTGGTATTGGCCGCCGTTATCTTTGGAGACCTCAGAGAGGACTTTGTTGACAAGTGCCGTCTTTCCACTACCCCGGGCTCCGATGACAAGCATCGAGTTGCCCTCGCCAGCGGTGATAGTGTGCTCGACAAGTTGGTGCACAGACTTGTACTCTTCGTCTAAGCCCACCAAGGGGGATGGGCGTTTACCGGTAATACGTTCCATGACGATTGTCTTCAGTAGATCAAGTTCGCGGCCCGGTGCAATGTCGCTATAGATGGCCGATAGAGCGAGCTTCTCCTTCTCCTTCTGTGCTGATGTAGGCTTGTTGAAGGGACTGGGTTCTGTGGGATCCAGTAAACTGTCCAAGATGCTGTTCCCATCTACCTCCATATCATCCTCGTCATGGCCATTGACCTGTTCTTCCGCATTCGACCAGCGTTCCTCGTCGTTGTTGGCGATGTGATCGGTGCGGTTGAAGCGTCTCCGTGCACTAGCAGTAAGCTTCCTGTTGCTTGTGGGAGAGCCATCGCCGAGTTCGTCATCGCTTTCCGGTATGGTTGTTTGTTCTGCAGCTGGTTTTCGTCGCTTGGCGGACTTGGAAGGCGTGGCTGCGACTGCCTCTTCCGACTCGGGTTCTGTCGCTGCTGCCTTCTTTCGTGTACTGGTAGCCGGCTTTCGTACGGAGCGTGGCTTCGAGGTCTTAGCGGCTTTGGTTTCGTTCTGCAGCTCATCCGTCTCATCCTCCTCGGGGATAGGACTAGGGTCTCTCTTCTTGCGCGCACTCGCTCGTGGGGCAGCTGGTTTGCGCGCCGACGCTGCTGGCTTCCGTACAGGTTTTGCGCCTTTGGCAGGTGTGATGGCATCCGTCGATGCCTCTTTCAAAGCGGCCCGACTTGCGGCTTCCGCCTTCGTAGGTCGCCCCTTTCCTCGCTTCGGTGGAGTGTTTGTTTGTGTCTCCTCCTTGTCCTGCGCCGCGATTGGGGTGTTCTCTTTGAGCGCTTTTTGCGAAGGTTTGCGGACCCGCGTTGGTCGTGAGGATATTTCGACGTTCAATGCGCCCTCGATGTCATCGTAGATATCAATCTCTTCTTCTGCCGCACGCTTTGTCGCAGTGCCATTTGTTGCGCCCTTCAGCGCCCGGCCTTTACGCACTGGCGCTGGCTTCTTCTCCACATCCTGTACAGAATCGCCGTTCGTCTTCGTGGTGGTTCGGGCTGCGAGCCTGCCGGAGGCTTTTCTCGTTGACGGCTTTGTTGACGGGCTCGATTCGGTGCGCTTCGGGGTGTCGAGCTTTCTCCGCTTAGAAGATCGTGGCGATTCGTCCATGGCGGTAATTAGGGCGTTCTGTTATCGTGTATGTATAGTTGATGGCTGTTCGTTATTGGGAATGCATCGTGATGGTCGTATGCGCCAAACGTTTCGAGATGGTGAAAGCGCTGGTCAAGGCGCGTCCATCCACAAGTCGCGTCGCGCTACAATTCCGCTTCCCGCCCGGGCGCCCCTGCATCATCCCAAGAGTCATCCACCCTCGCTTCTCTATGTGGAAGACGAGCACCAAACACCACACCAGCTGACCGTCAGTACTAACCGTACAATCCATATCGGATTGGACATTAGACTGAGTCATCATGGCTCCGCGGTCGGACTCTTGTCGTGACTTTTGCGCTTTCCGACGGGCCCAGGGCCTCAGAGCCCCACTCGACCGTACATCGAGCACGCCCTACAAGTGATTCCCAAGCTAACGCCGTCACTACTTATCTCAACATACAATGGAGACTGTAAATAAGTATGAGTCTGCTGCCATCGATTCAACATCAAATTCGAGCATTCAATGGCTTCAACTCATAGCACCCAGGTCGATTTGACCACTTACCCACAGCAGCCTTCGGCGGCGACAACGGATATCGAAATACTACGCCAACACGAAGATGACGATCAACGTCTCAACAGTGACGATGGCTTCTCCCTTCCGCCCACCGATGGTGGTAAGGATGCCTGGCTCTGCCTGTTCGCTTGCTTCATGCTCGAAGCCATGATCTGGGGGTTTCCTTCCTGCTATGGTGTCTTCCAAGAATACTATGCTACTAGTGAGGAGTTCTCCGGTCAAAGCAACATCGCCGTGGTTGGCGCTTGCGCAATGGTATGTTATAACAATCATTACAGGTTATCATTCTAACACTCCTCCAGGGTATCATGTACATGGACATTGCGTTCTGGTTTGCCGTGCTCAAATACTTTCCCAAATTCCGCATCTGGGCCACACCAGTCGGTCTAGTTGTCGTTTGTCTCGCTTTGGGTCTTGGATCACTGTCAACGAGCGTAACGCACCTCATTGTCACTCAAGGCATCTTGTACGCACTCGGCGGCGGCCTCGCATGGACTCCAATTCTCTTCAACATCGAAGAGTGGTGGGTACGCAGAAGAGGCTTTGCCTACGGCGCCACCATGGCTGGTCTAGGATTGAGCGGGGCCATCCTCCCTCTTATACTCGAATGGCTTCTACACTCTTACGGGTTTCGAACGACTCTCCGAGTATGTGCGCTCAGCTTCGTGGCCCTCAACTTTCCGATAGTCTTCTTCTTCAAGCCTCGTCTTCCACTATCGCAAACATCGCAGTCCAGAGGATTCGATCTGTCGTTCTGGACATGTTCGAATTATCTTATCCTGCAATCCGGCAACATCATCCAAAGTCTTGGCTTCTTCCTACCAGCAATCTACCTGCCTACCTTTGCTCGGTCCATCGGCGCAGGTAGCATCGAAAGTACCGTCACTATCATCCTCGTCAACGCCGCTGCGTTTGTCGGATGTCTGTGCATGGGTATCGCTACCGACAAGTACCATGTCACGACCTGTCTTATGGTCTCTGCACTGGGATCAACAGTCGGCATCTTTCTCCTGTGGGGGTTCTCTACATCACTAGCGCCATTGTACATGTTTTGTATCGTCTACGGTGCCTTTGCTGGCTGTCAATCGAGCGCCTGGAGTGCAATCGTTGCAGACACTCAAAAGAAGCGCAGAGGCGCGGATTCTGGCTTCGTATGGGCGTGCCTATCAGCTGGGAAAGGAGTAGGCAACTTGTGCAGTGGTCCGCTCTCAGAAGCATTGCTACATGCTGGTGATTGGAGTGCAGGCTTTGCTTATGGCAGCGGATATGGCGCGTTGATCGCCTTCACAGGTGTGACTGCACTATTGAGCGGCTGGGGATATGCTGCAAGGAGAATTGGATGGATATGATCCGATGCCTCTGGATGCCTGACGTAGTTCATTGCCGAGGTCTGCGTCCCGCACGGCAGTACGTCACACATCACGCCGTTACTACATTTCAAACACCAAGCAGGTCTCCCGATGCTCAAGTAGACGATGTGCCCGTTCCTGTTACAGAGCAACCATGGTCGGCATCTGGTTGCGCCAATCAGCTAGCGACATGCTCTCTTGGCGTCGAGGTACGCGTACGCCTGAAACAGACCCACCACTACCATCAACATGCGATCGGCCCTCCCGCTCGCATCTCGACCTCTCCCTCGAAACATGTTGGCTCTCTACCCAATCTATCCATGGCCATCGCAGCCTTGCTTTTACGCAAATTACCGACTTGGCCCTTGTCACCCACCTGTTTACAGCTTTGTTTTATAGCGCGCACAACGATTCCATTGGAGAAGGTCATGAAACTCCACAGCGATCGGCATGAAATCCCCATACTACAATTTACGAATCAGGCCATGCAGACGCGCTTCCTGGCTAGACCTGCAGAGATTGACCTACCAAGCCCGCGCCGCCGCGTCTTCGCAATGTCTTGATCGATCTTATCTGTAACTAGCAGGTGGGCGCACAGACGCTTGCTCATAGTGATTCTCCCAGCTCCAGCAACTTCAAACGACTGGGCAATCTGGGGGCGGCGGGCCCGCGGGTATGCTGGTTTGAGATGAATTGAGTGGTTGATCATGGGTAGATCATGGCCTGGAAATCTCCGAAACGAAACAAGAAGATATATATCTAGGGCTCTCTGGCCTCAGTTTGTAGGATCATCAACACAGTTCTTCACAGATCAGTTGTCCAGCACTCTTTCTCTCTCTTCCTCTTCCTCATTCTCTTACACTTCGGGCAGGCCTTTCTTTGCTCTACCCAAGTTCGCTCTCTCTAGATATCCTAGTGGTATATACATTCTTTTTGGCTGAGCCACTATCTTTACATTTCAACAAACAGCCTCAAACATCCACACGGACTTTTCTACACTACAACCATCAAGATGAAGTACTCCGTCCCCGTTGTCCTCGCTCTCTCGAGCAGCGCTGCCGCCGCCCCCTTCGGCGACTACCTCGACGCCATCTTCGGCACCAAGGACACCCGTCAGGCTCCTCCTCCTCCCGGCTTCCCTTCCATGGGCATGCCACCTATGGGCTCTCCCACCCCAGGTTTCCCTCCCATGGGTCCTCCCATGGGAACTGGTGCACCAACACCTGGCTTCCCTCCAATGGGTGCCCCAACCCCAGGCTTCCCCCCTATGGGCGCACCAACCCCAGGCTTCCCCCCAATGGGCCCTCCCTCCGGCCTCCCTCCCATGGGCGCACCAACCCCCGGATTCCCTCCCATGGGCCCCCCCATGGGCACCGGCGCCCCAACACCCCCCGGCTTCCCCATGCCCATGCCCACCGGCGGCTTCCCAGGCGGTCCCGGCGGCCCAGGCGGCTCCAGCAACATGCCCCCTTCCTGGCCCGTCCGCGCGCGCGCCGCCCGCAACCTAGCCATCGACTACCAGCTCGCCCCGCGTCAAGGCGGCGACCTGCCCCTCCCCAGCTTCTCACTCGCAGACCCCGAGAACGGCGGTGGTGCACCTACTCCTACTGAGTCCCCCTCCGGCGGAGGCGAAGAAGCTCCAGGAGGTTTCCCCGGTCTCCCTACTCCCACCGATGCTCCCGGCGGCGGATTCCCAGCGCCCACAGGCGGATTTCCCGGTCTGCCTACTGGTGCGCCTGAGGGACCTGGTGGTGGACCTGGTGGACCGGGTGGTTTCCCGACGGATCTTCCTTCTTTCCCCATGCCGACTGGTATGCCTGGTGGTTCAGGTGGTTTCCCCGGTCTTCCTGGTACTGGCATGCCTGGTCTGCCTACTACCATGGAGACGATGACGCGTGGACCTAAGCCAACTGGTATGCCTGAACTCCCTGGTCAGGAGGATGGCCAGCAGGGTCCTGGTGGTGACAACGGGTCTGGTGGCTGGTGGAGCTGGCTTGGTGGATTGTTTGGCGGTGGTAAGGGAGATGGCGAGGGTGCTGGAGCTGGTGAGGGTGAGGGTGCTGGAAGTGAAATTGGTGCTTAGATGCCCGGCTTCTTTGATTCATGAATTCCGGTACAAGTTCGTTGTGCTGAATGAAGGAGGAGAGGGAGAAGACGTCTTGATGGCGCGATTGGTTTCGATTCTTGTCAAAATACTTTACACTTTCACTTTACTACAAAGAAATCATACATGCCAACACGGTAGAATGACAGACAAACAAATTATCTCAGCACAAGCTTCACTTCCACACCATGTTCTCCAGTGTCTTCCATGGACTTAGTCAGATATCAAAGGTGAAGATAAGATGCAATTATCTATATCAACAACATATGTACCACAATGTTAAAGAACGTAAATCATCAAAATTGACCGCCGCCGTTGAGGGCAGCAATCGGGTATCTCAGAAAGGCAGGCCATGCCTACATCACCATCCCCCTCCTCCTCCCCAAACTATGCTTCTTGAACTTTTTTAGGGTTCCCGCACCAAGTAATATCGTTTTTGTGACGGTCGTCGGGTTGAATTGACGCCTCCCAGATGCATATGCTTATGCTTTGTAATGCTTTCACTTTTTGAAAGTACCTATTATGACCGATTTGCGCCGAGATATGAAGAGTCGGAGAGATTTGCGCTTGTTGAAGTGCAAGAGTCCTGTTGAAAAAGGGACTCTGTTGCGTATGTTGTTGAAGACCGAAGTGAAAGTGGAGATTATCCGAGGGAAGCTCCTCAAGAGTTGGGTCTTGTTGTGTTGAATACAGTGAGACCGGGTGTCATATCGGATCATGGAAGCCTAGTTGGACATTGCAAGGCTCCTCATGCCGTTGGTGACTTCGACAGCGGCTGCTTTGGCAGCGTCGATGAGGCTTGGGTTCTCTTCTTTGCGAGGTCCGACTTTCTCGCCGTTTGTGCCGTTCACGTTGCTTTCGCCGTTGACTGGCTTCTTCGCTTCCTCTCCGTTTGTGCCAGGCACGTCAACGCTGTTGGGGTCGACTAGAGGCTTGTCCATATCCTTGACTTCTAATCCGTCGAAGATGGGGAAGATGCCACGAGTGGCGTGGAAGTCGTTGTGTACTGCAAGAGTATTAGTTGAAAAAGCATAATGAGTAAGCGAATATACTCACCGATGTTCAGGAGGTACCAGGTGTCAACAACATCCTGGATCACGTAACGTGAAGGACTGACACCAGCATGGCAGTTGGCCCACTGCTGTCCGAGACGGTAGAATTCGTCCTTCCAGGCGAGGAAGCTGACTGTTTCGACAATGGTTGGCTGCACAATCTCCTTGCCTGGGAAGACACCCCAAGTAACAGCATTTGGTCCTTCGTTGGGAGCGTTGGTCTTCAAGTCGCCATCCTTGTTGACCGCGTAGTATGTGAACTCAGGGTCGCGCTCGAGACGTGTGATGATCTCCGAAATGTGCTCTGGGGAGACAAACACCTCTAGGTATGCCTTCTGGTAGACGTAACCATTGCGTGGGCCCCAACCAAAGACAGGGTCCGAAGACTTGGCTCCGTTGACAGCAGGCTGGGAGTTGATGGTCAGGAAACCACGACGGTTCAGGTCGATGAGATCATCAGTGATGGATCCAGCTTCAGTCGTGATGGGCTGTTCACTCCACGGCAACGAGTCGAGCTTTCCCTCCATGTAGCGTACGAAGAGTTCGGACAGATCCCTAATCGACATTGGTGTGCCCCATAGCTTGATGTTCTGCTCATTGGTTCCCTTCAGACCAATGCCATATGAGTCCAATTCACCGAACGCAGGCGAGCGAGAATCTCCCCAGCGACCGTTGGGGAACTCGTCCCAATCTTGTGTGCGTGCGATATACGATCGGTTGCGGTTGCGCCAGAAGATGGGTCGCACGTTCTCGTCGCGTCGGTTGAGGGCCAGGGAAGGCCGCCACGGAAGGGGCTTCTCTAGCGGTGACTCGGGGTCTGGTAGGAGGTCTAGTTCTTCGAGGACCATGCGGGTGGCTTGTGCAAGGTTCATGGTGTAGCTATATGGGAATTAGTCGGCGATCTTCCAGTCTCGAGCACCTACTTACAAGTGCAGATGTATGATGCCAGCATCGATCAGCCGCCGGCACATGTCTGCGACCAGAGTCTTGCCAACTTCACGGACTTCCACGTCATCGTTCTTGACAGGCTCCAACGCCTCAGTCCAGTTCTTGGGAATGTTGCACTTGGTCCATTGAGCTCGGCGTAGAAATGCCGCGTATGTGTGGATCGGCATAATACCAGGAATGATGGGAACGTCGATGCCCTTGGCACGAACCTTCCTGACCCATTCAAGGAAGAGGTCGGTATCGTAGAACATCTGTGTGACGATGAAGGTTCCTCCAGCATCCACTTTTTCCTTGAGATGGTCGATGAGCTCGTCGACGTTGTCGTTGTCGTCACTTCCTTCGGAGTAGCCGGCCACACCAATGTCGAAATGATTTCCGTACTTCTCCTTGATGTATACAACGAGGTCCTTGGCATAGCGGAAGCCACCTGCCGTCGCCTCCCACTTCTCTCTCTCACGCGGTGGGTCTCCCCTCAGCGCGAGGATGTTGGTGCAGCCGGCGTTGTATGCGTCGCGGAGGGCGTCGTCGAGCTTGGACTTTTCCATGTCGGTGCACGTGAGGTGCATGCAGGTTTCGAGGCCGTAGACGGATTGTGCGACCTTGACCATCTCGCAGGTCAGCTTGGAGTGGCGGCCACCGGCGCCCCAGGTCAGATCGATGAACTGTGGACCGAAGCCATGCATGCGGTCCATGCGGTCGTAGAGGTTTTGAACTCCCTAGATGAAATCAGCTTCTTGCTCCTTGTGCCAGGGCATCAGGGTACGACGTACCTGCGCTGTCTTGGGCGGGAAGAATTCGAAGGAGAAGGTTGGCTTTCCCTCCTCCCGCGCCTGGGCGAGTTTCTGAGAGATGTGCATGATGGGAAGGTGTAGGACAGCTAGAAAAAGAAGAGGGAGGAAAATGTAGAGTCTGCGTCAATTCTCCCGACGTTAGTGAAATGTATATGAGAGATATGCACCCCGCGGTGGAATTCGGGCGATGTGCAAGGATGCTGCGTACTGCGGTGTTGACACGAGCTATCCAAAGTATCGTTTGCGGGCCCAGCGATCTGCGAGTGTCCGCGACATGTACCACTGCTGTCTTGCGGTCGGTCAGTAGGCGGGAGGTGAGTGATGCGTTGATGTACAGTTTTCCTTAGCGGAAGGTTGACGTTGAAGCGGTTAGCGCAGTACGGAGGCACAATCGGAGCCCTCCAGCCCTGCCAAGCGTGGCCCATCTTCGGCGGTCTGCCATGGCTACTCTGGCACCACTGGACGATCCGGTGGCTATACGCAACATGTGCATGCGGTGGGCGCGCTTCGTCACAGGAGATGCAGAGAGCGCTTGGGTAGGTCGCAAGGCGCGCATATTATAATGTGGCATTGCATGTGGTGATGGATGTGGCATGGAGCCCCACAAACGTGTCCCGTCCCACACGAGCTCCCCTCCACCGCTGGTGGCCGAATTATCCCTTCCCCGGGTTTACCCTATGCGGTAACCCCGGATCATCATCGTTGCGCAAGAGTGTGTTAAGCTGCCAGACACTCTACAAGTAACATTCTTCATACACATACACAGACCGCAGCTATGCCGCCCATTACGCGCCCCCGCCGCATTGTCGGCGTTTCGCTGAAAATGTACTTCGACCTGCCCAGCACCCTGTCCTACGTCCGCGGCGTCTTGCAACTTGACGGCGACGCCTGGAACTCGCGCATCGATCTCTTCGTCATCCCCGACTTCGTCTCCCTCACCGAATCTGCCCGCATCCTCGAATCTTCGTCTATCATGCTTGGCGCCCAAGATACCATGTGGGAGGACAGGGGCGCATACACCGGCGAGGTCAGCCCACTGGTGCTGCACCAGGCAGGTGCGCGGATAGTAGAGATTGGACATGCGGAGCGAAGGGCCATATTCGGTGAGACAGACGAGACGGTTGCGAAGAAGGCCGGTGCAGCGGCGAGGAACGGCCTCATACCACTCGTGTGCATTGGCGAGAAGACGCACCACAGCGTCGCATCAGCAGCTGTCGGTGCAGCTATACAAGAGTGCAAACCCCAGGTCATGTCAGTGCTGGCTGCGGTCCCAGACGACACTGAGGTAATTCTGGCCTACGAGCCTGTCTGGGCCATTGGCGCAAAGGAGCCCGCCGACCCCGACCACGTCGTCAATGTTACGAAAGAGCTCAGGAAGCTGGCTGCTGGCAGAGCGGGCACGACAAGAATCGTCTACGGAGGAAGTGCTGGCCCTGGCACCTTTGCGAAGATTGCCGAAGGGGTCGATGGCTTGTTTTTGGGTCGTTTCGCGCATGACATCAAGAACCTCAAGAAGGTCATCGAAGAAGTTGGCGGAGCTTGAGGTCGCTGTGGATGACCATACGGCCGTTGAAGCTCTCATTCTTTGTCGCATTAATCATCCAGCGGGATCGGAGTCGGGGAAGGGGGAACAAGGCGAACAAACCAGCCGGGTGAGATTACTTATCTTCCCATCACCACCATCCATCTCGTCATATGCGCAGGTATAAAGAGAATGACGTGCCGGCTTGGTACCTTCTCTCAAACTGATCCATCTCATCTTCTCTGAGAGCACGTGCAATGCACCTTCCTCTCCTAACAGCACTTTTGTTGACCTTGCATCATGTGGACTGGCGCGGAATACATGTCCATTCGCAAAGACAGTAACCAACTAATCACCGCTGTACGCAATCTGCTCGACTCGATCATCGGTACATTTCGCGATCATGGCGAACGAGTTTATGACAGTCGTTCGGCACTAGGCAGGAGCGACGCGCACCTGTCCATGCTGAACAAGTACGGTGCCCCCAGGAGCAGAAGGTGCGAACGACCACGAGACTTTGAGCCATCGAACATCCGAATGTACCGACGATCTGTATCTCCTTGTACGCTCCCACCAGCTTTCGGCACTCCAACACTGGAAAGCACCGAAGACCGAAAACCTCCGAAGGCCACCGACTTGAACCTTCAACGCCGCATGCTCCACACT